CTGACCGCCAGATTTGGGGTCAGGAAGGAATTTCCCCCCAGGTCAGATTGGCAGGGACCCTTGGGGGTTTTCACCTTCCTCTGCAGTGACAGGCCCGGGTCACAGGCTGGGATCCTCGAGGCATCTCTCACCTATTTGAGCCCTTGCTGTTCCAGAGGCCTCAGTCTCTCCTGTTCTCAGCCTGGGGCACGCAACAGTTACTCTCCTGCTGACTAAACTGCTTTAGTTACGTCACTGGGCTCCACATCGGGGTGACATGTTCCTGCCTGTGAAAGGCAGGAGGTCAGACTAGATGATCTCATGGTCCCTTCTGCCCTTCATCTCTGTGAAACTAGTGCACTATTTTCCCCTTAGAGATGGAGTTTCTTTTCCTGTTCAGTTTTCAGAGCAGCAGCCGTGTTAGTCTGTATCCGCAAAAAGAACAGGAGGATTTGTGGCACCTTAGAGACTAACCAATTTATTTGAGCATGAGCTTTCGTGGGCTACAGCCCATTTCATCGGATGCATCGGAGTTCCTGTTCAGTCAGGTCAGTCGCCTCCACCCCCTCCAATTCCCCCTTGAACGGATGATTCATGGTTATATTTTTGCCCTTGGCAGTTCCTTCCATAAGTCAAGTGGTAGGAAGAAATGTTTCCAGGATTGCTCGGAGGCTAGTCCCCTCAACTTCAGCTCGGGGGAGAGGTCGCTGCTTGTTCAGCATTAACGCAAACTCTGTGCCGGCTCTGCAAAAGCCTCCTGGTGAGCAGCGTGCGGATGGTCATTTGTCCATGTGGGCTGTGGGCTCCCTGGCCCTGGGGCAGCCCCACTGTTCTGGGGTAACAGTTACTTGAGTTTGTGAAAGTGTTTTAGTAGCTTCTGTTGCCTTTGTGTGTTCTGCTAGCTCCCATCAATCATCGCACAGGGAATTAAGAGCAACACAAGGTCTCTCCAGCGGGATTCTTGAGCCCCTTCCAGCTGGGAGATGGCCTTTCTGTTTCTCCTGCCCATCCCCTGATAGAGTGGCGATGGCAGCAGGGACAGAAGGCACTCCTCTGAGTGCCTGTCAAGCCCTACCAACCTCCCTCACCTGTCCCAACCTGGGAAGTAATTGTAAGTGGCCATCAGAGGCACAATGGCTGTATGAGCAGTGTTGACAGAGGGATATGTACAGTCAACTGCTAGACAGATGAGGCTGGTGGCAAAGGACTGAAATCAGGACTTAATTTGGATCCCACTGTGGGAGAGATGGAGCTGCTGTGTAATAAGCTAAGAATACGGTTTCTTGACTTGGTTAATGGGATATTTACTGTATGGCTGTCCTGGACTAAACCCCCAGGGGGGTTGGGAACCGAACAGGAAGGCAACACAATGACGTGAGATAAGACCTCTCTCAGCAAATATTAGGGGTGGTGTGAGTCAGTGCAGGAGCCTTTTGCTTTGACTCTACCCCCTGTGAGCAAACGGGTTTGGGGCAACAGGTCCCACCCTGGAAAATAAGGGCTAGTCTACATGAGAAGCGCCACATCGTGCAGCTGCCTTCTGCTGTTGGGAGAGCACAGAATAGGGCTGTCGGCAGCACAATAAAACCACCTCCCTGAGAGAGGCTGATTCACAGCCCTGAGCCACATTAGTTAGACTGACACAACTGTTGTGTATACAAACCCTGCGTCAGAGGGCTGCTGTCTGGATTTAAGGACAAAGGAAAGCCAAGGTGAACCCAGATTCTGGAGTGTGGGGGGTCTGGGAAGTGGGACCTGCCCAGAGTTTCTGCTAAGGAATGGCAAGCCTCTAGGTAAGATCCATGTGCCTGTATGCCCAAACCAGAAAAGTGAAGTGGACACTGAAATAAAGCTGTAGCATATAAATAATAATAATAAAAAAACCTTTTGTTAAAATCCTTTTCGTCTCATCTAGTGCTTTGCTCCTGTGGTTCACTAACAGTACTTTCGTTTTAAGAAGGCTGTTCTGAGCCCCTGCATTTACTGCTGGTCACACGCTCCAGACGGGAAGAACTGTAGGTACCGAGTCCAGTTGGATCTGCTGGATATCCATGGTGTATACACAGGGCGCTTTGAGAGAATCACGTCCTTCCCTCGGGAGCGGTGTTCACCTCCCAGAGCATTTTCAGCTAAATTAGTCGTGTTTGTTTACTTGTTTGTCATTTACAGCCAGGAAAACCAATAATGGAGAGTGGAGCCCACGCAGAAAACAAGCTTCTCTCTACTCCTCTTCCTCAACAGGGCCGTTGTCTTGTCAATTAGTGCGCTGTTACTACCTGTATGGCTAGTAAAGCTTCCCATTGTTTACAAAGAATGTAGGCTAATGGTTCAGCAAGGAGCATCCTTGAAAGCGACAATCCATTCATACTGCTGTTCTTGTGGCTGAAAAACAGGACCAAGATGATGCATAATAAATAAATGTGATCCATGAACGTCCCCTTTGCTGGTTGCAATTAAGCCATGAAGGGTTGGCCTGCATGTCTCTTGCACTGACAGATTTTTAAGCCAGGGCACGCTTGGCATGTGAGATTTGTCTCTGCACGTGGTGTTTGGATAATCTTGGTATGAACATTGCTTGGGAAAGCCGTGTGAGTCTCCAGTCTAAGATTTCACTGGTTGCTGGGCTACACCCGCACTGCACGCTTCTTTTGGTGGCATGCATAGCATGTACTCGGGAAGCCCCAAGCACGGGTTTAAGTAGCAGTATAGACAGTGAGGCATAGCTTAAGACAAGTAAAGTACGGACACGGTATGTAACTTATGTGGTTCCCCAGTTGCCTAAGCTGTGCATCCCATCTGTGCTGCTGTTTTCTCCTGTGTAGTGTCCTGCTGTCTCCGCACTGCTGGAGCCTTTGCCCACCACAGGAAAAGAATATGGCATCGGGGAACGACTCCCAAGGTGCGGAAAAGCTCAGCCTCCCCCCTGCCAGAGCCTTTCACGGACATGTGTAGCTAGCCTGCTTTTCACTGCAGCATGGAGCTACACCACTGACAGGGGTGTGCAGTGTAGACGTAGCCTTGAGGGGAAGCTCATGAGTTTATCCAAGTGACAAGGGATTGCAGACACACGTTATAGATGAGCCTTCTGCTGAAAACTTAAGCCAAAGGTTTTAGGGGCTTTTTACTCAGTAGCTTATAAATAAGTGACCTCCTTCTGCCCCACTCTCAACTCCCATTTACTGGGCCAGGCTAGGCATAGCAGCCTGAAGAAAATGCCCATCCCATAGACAACACTGAAGAAAGGGGGGGGTGGGGAACGTAATAAAGCGACTTGGAAAAACCAACTCTAGCTGTGTGGTTCTATTGCCCATTTCAGAAGAGAACTCGCCCCAGCGTTTGAACTGTGCCAGAGCTGCTGTTTTGCTGGCTGGGAGGCTGCCAGGCTGGGACCTGGGGGCATGTAGAGAGCAGTTTGAGATGTCTGTGAGAGGAAGGGTTTGCTATAACCATACATTCAAAAGCTCATTCTAGTCATTTTTGCCAATAGCCTCTTACTCTGAAACATCTGGGAGTAAAGACTCCCTGCTCTGGTTTGGTCTCCTAGCTCCTGCAGGATATTTTCACTATACACAAACCTATTTGTTTGGGCTCCAAGAGGTTTGACTTGTTTCTGTTAGAGCCAGTAGCAGAAATGTCAATGTGTTGGACCTCACCATCCGGTCCTAAAGGACTTGATGGACCCAAAGGTGGGTGCTCTGGGGAGGCATTATGGGTTGATGATACTACTAAGTTACACATGTGCATAAGGGTTTGCAGGCTTGAGTCCTTGGACTGCAAGTTCCCGAAGTCTGGGGTTGTGCCGGGCTCTGTCTGGAAAGTGCAGCATTCACCCTGGTGCTGTCTAAACGAGAGAGAATATGATTTTAATATTCTCTTGCTGCTAGCCTCTGATTGTAACCCAAAATCACGGATAACTTTGATGCATTTCTTCATTGTGAAATGAATTTGTTCATCCAAATCCTATTAGCAGGGTTACCTACAGCCAAGTGTTCTGCAGAGTGGTTATAAAACCATGTAAATTGTACCTAAAGTGTAACAAATTCAGTAATTTATAAAAATGAATGGCCATGAAGATGTTATCCCATAAGGGACTTGGCAGTGTGTACTTGGCTAAGAAATTAAAAGCTGCCATACGTGTCTGAGAAATTGATTTACCTTCCTGGCTAACCCACTTAACAAACATCTCTGTGCATAAATAAGTGAATTCCCTGTAACGTTTGACAAACTTGCACTCTTGCTGCCTTTTAACTTAAGGAATCTCAGGCTGCTGGCCTCCTTGCGGCTGCAGGGCTCCTAGGGCTTTTATTTGGTGATCGACTTTTAAAAAGCAATGAAGGGCCACAGCTTTTGAACTAAGAAAAGATCTTCGTTCAAAACAGAACATTCCCCTCCTACAAAAGGTGTGTCTGTGGCCTGCACGGGAGGCTGAGGGCTGTTCTTAATGACACTAGGGCACCTTCCATGGCTCCTGCGGTTTGCGTGCCATTCAGTTGGAAGCGTCTCTTGAAGGTGATCTCCTTTTAGCACTTGTTGGCTGTGGGTCAGTTTGCTGAATATCCTCCATCTCTGAACTATAGAGAAATAAGCATGTCTGCCGGGCAGAGACTGTCTGCTGCTACGTGTGGCCACTCGGGCTTGCAGTGCACTCATTTCTCACCCCTAAGATTCATGGAAGAGCTTTTTTATCTTAAATTCCTGCATAAATTCTCCAAGCCATTTCCTATGCTTGTTCTCCCTGGGGTGGATGATCGGATTCCTGTCAATAGTTTCTACTCTGTTATGCTGCAGTAAATGGGAGTAACTCCATTTGACTTCAGTGGAGTTACCCTAGATTTGCCCTGGTGCTGCTGAGGTCAGAATCTGTCCCATAGTTGCAAAGTCCTTGGGGTCTTTCAGGCTGGAAGGCAGACTAGAATGTTGACTGAATTGTTATGAAGTAAGCTAAGAGCTCGCTGTCAGACTCGCAAGCATCCAAAAGAGAACAGAAATAATATTCAGGTTTTTGATTTTCTGATCAACAGGTAGAAAGTGAAGATGAGAAGAGACGTTTTGAAGATGGAAAAGGGAGATATCTTCAAACGAAAGCCAAAAGGCAGGCACAGATGCAACCGCTCACTCAACAATGACCCTTCATCTTGGACCTAAATATTTATGGCAGAGCCGCCTAGAAATAAACATATCCACTTTAGAAATATTTACTTGGACAAATAAAACTAACCTTTCACTTGTGTTGTATGAAGTGTTCATTGGGCCCTGTGTATTCATTGATCCTGTACCTGTGCAAATGGTGGCAGAATTCATTCTGTGCGGCAGAATTGTACTCCAGAAGATAAGTTTTTCCTTTTTGTTTTTTTTAAAGTGAGCCTTTCAGATATGACTCAAGCGTTGAGATGGAGTGTTTGTCTTTTTGCGTTCACACATAAACTGAAACAATCGTTCTGAAGTCTGAGCTGTGCCACCATTCGTCACAATTGAATGTTAAATCTGAACCGTAATGATGCCAATTTAAATCAGTTTTTGAATTAGAATCATAAAATATCAGGGTTGGAGGGGACCTCAAGTCTAACCCCCTGCTAAAAGCAGGACCAATCCCCAACTAAATCATCCCAGTCAGGGCTTTGTCAAACCTGACCTTAAAAACCTCAAAGGAAGGAGATTCCACCACCTCCCTAGGTAACGCATTCCAGTGCTTCACCACCCTCCTAGTGAAAGTTTTTCCTAATATCCAACCTAAACCTCCCCCACTGCAACTTGAGACCATTACTCCTTGTTCTGTCATCGGCTACCCCCGAGAACAGTCTAGAACCATCCTCTTTGGAACCCCCTTTCAGGTAGTTGAAAGCAGCTATCAAATCCTGCCCCCCATTCTTCTCTTCCGCAGACTAAACAATCCCAGTTCCCTCAGCCTCTCCTGATATGTCATGTGTTCCAGTCCCCTAATCATTTTTGTTGCCCTCCGCTGGACATTTTCTAATTTTTCCACATCCTTCTTGTAGTGTGGGGCCCAAAACTGGACACAGTACTCCAGATGAGACCTCACCAATGTCAAATAGAGAGGAATGATCATGTCCCTTGATCTGCTGGCAATGCCCCTACTTATACATCCCAAAATGCCATTGGCCTTCTTGGCAACAAGGGTACACTGTTGACTCGAATCCTGCTTCTCGTCCACTGTAACCCCAGGTCCTTTTCCGCAGAACTGCTGCCTAGCCATTCGGTCCCTAGTCTGTAGCAGTGCATGGGATTTTTCCGTCCTAAGTGGAGGACTCTGCACTTGTCCTTGCTGAACCTCCTCAGATTTCTTTTGGCCCAATCCTCTAATTTGTCAAGGGCCCTCTGCATCCTATCCCTACCCTCCAGCGTATCTAACTCTCCTCTCAGTTTCGTGTCATCTGCAAACTTGCTGAGGGTGCAATCCACACCATCCTCCAGATCATTAATGAAGATATTGAACAAAACCGTCCCGAGGACCGACGCTTGGGGCACTCCACTTGACACCGGCTGCCAACTAGACATGGAGCCATTGATCTCTACCCGTTGAGCCCGACAATCTAGCCAACTTTCTATCCACCTTATCGTCCATTCATCCAGCCCACACTTTTTTGTTAAACTACTGAGCAGTTTTAGCAGAAACATCCAGTCTAATATTTGTTCCATAATTCCAGGCAAACTACTGTGCCTTTCTGGATGCCAAAGGCCCATGCCTACTCCCCAAAACCACTAGCTTCCCAAAGGCCAAGTTCTGCAATACAGCTGTGTTTTATGTTTCTAAAAGGCACATTGAATATGTAGGAGCAGCATAAAATTGAATTTATGTCCAAGTAAATACTACCAGGTTACTGTACACCGTGTATTATTCATTCCAACACCATTCAATAAAATAACTCCAGTCTGCCATAGGTGGAGTGGCACAGAAAGCAACGGGCATACCAAAGAATACACAGGGCCATGACTTTTTGTAATGCAGTGTTGATCTACAGTATGTCCTAAAATATGTACACCAAAGCTTATTTATATTACTCAAGTATAAATGCTACTCAGTATTGTATGGGACTCTCAGTTCATTCCATTCAAATCTATGTAATATTTATGTGCACATCTAAGTTATTTAGGGTGCACTGTGACATGAATAAAGTCGGTCAGTCTTCAGCTGAAGGAAATAGGGTGTCATTTTTTTCTTTTCAGAAATTGTGTGTGGTCTAAATAATCATTCCAAGGTGTCCCAGGAGTTCTCTTCAGGGTTAGACTTGGGCTAATGTGTTCATTGGATTGAATGGGAAATGCCCCTGGAACAGGAGCTGCAGGACTAAAATGTGCAGTGCTCTTCATACTGAGTGTCTTCGGATAATCCCCGTGGAATTCATTTGTGTCATTAGTGTTGTGGTCACTCACCCCCCCCCAAGGGTTAAGAAGCTCTCATTAGAAGCTGCATTGAAATTACAACTCTAATCTCCTCAATAAACCAGGTAAAAGAGGTGAAAACACATAGCCTTGACAGGTGAGTGTGCCAGTCAGAGAATCATGGAAATGTAGGGCTGGAAGGGACCTTGAGAGGTCATCTAGTCCTGCCCCCTGTGCTGAGGCAGGACCCTGTAAACCTAGACCATCCCTGGAAGGTGTTTTTGTAACCGATTCTTAAAACCTCCAGTGGTGGGGAATTCCACGACCTACCTTGGACGCCTGTTCCAGAGCTTAACTACCCTGAGCGTTAGAAAGTTTTTCCTAATTTCTCACTTCAATCTCCCTTGGTGCAGATTATGCTGATGACTTGTCTTATCTTCAGTGGACATGAAGAACTATTGATCACCGTCTTCTTTATAATCGCCCTTAACATACTTGAAGACTTAACAAATGTCCCCCTCAGTCTTCTCAAGACTAAACATGCCCAGTTTTAGACAATTTTCTTCATAGGTCAGGTTTTCTAAACCTTTTATCACTTTTCTTTTTTGCTCTTATCTGGACTTTCCAATTTGTCCACATCTTTCCCAAAGTGTGGCACCCAGAACACAGGACTCCAGTTGAGGCGTCGCCAGTGCTGAGTAGAGTGGGACAGTTACCTCCCATCTTACATACAACTCTCCCATTCATACACCCCAGAATATTAGCCTTTATTGCAACTGCATCAGATTGTTGGCTCATTCAATTTGTAATCCACTGTAACCCTCATGTCCTTTTCAACAGTAGTCACTCAGCTAGTTATTCATTTTGTAGCTGTGCATTTGATTTTTTCTTAAGTAAATTTCCTAAGTAAATTTTGCAAATTTTATAGGAATAGTGTCCACTCCATTATCCAAGTCATTAATGAAAAATATTGACTAGTACTGGACCCAGTACAGCTCTCTGCAGTACCCCTCCCAGTTTGATAGCAAACCATTGATAATTACTCTTTGAATGGACTTATAGTTTTGTACCTACCTTATAATTTTATCTAGACCACATTTCCCTAGTTTGTCCTTGAGAATGTCATTAAAATCAAGCTTCCTCACATCCACTAGGCCAGTAAGCCTGTCCAAGAAGGAAATTAGGTTGGTTTGGCATTTGTTCTCGACAAAAATCCATGTTGGCAATTGCTTATAATCCTGTTATCCTCTAGGTGCTTACAAAATGATTGTTCGATAGTTTGTTGCAATAATTTGTAATTATAGGCTGTCCTATAATTTCCCAGGTCCTTTTTGTTCCCCTTTTTGAGGATAGGTGCTATGTTTGCACTTCTCCAGTCCTCTGAAACTCACCCGTCCTCCAGAAGTTCTCAAAGATAATCACTAATGGTTCCAAGGTTGCTTGAGCTAGTTCCTTAAGTACCCTAGGATGACTTTCATCAGGGCCTGCTGACTTGAATACATCTAACTTATCAAAATGCTCTTTTATCCCCTTCTTTCCCTATTTTGGTTGCATTCCTCCTTCCTTGTTATTAATATTAATTTTGTTAAGTACCTGGTCACCTAAATTGCCTGCCACCTTCAGGTTCTCAACCAGTTTCTCCCTGATCATCAGAATTACGTCTCAAAGGGCTGTCCCCCTCATTACTTCCTCCACCTTCTGAAACCAAAAGTTGTCCACAATACATTCCTAGAAATTACTGGATATTTTTATTTGTCCTGTTGATCAAGGATATGAACCATGCCGACGTTAATATAGAGAGATGTAATAGCAGAATTATGAACAGAGGTAATGACTAGTACATCAATTGCATAGGGAGTCACAGCTCAGAGCAAATTTTTATGGCCCATATATATATACAGGTTACACAGGAAAGCCTGGCGTATCCTTAGCTAAAGTCTAGAGCACAATAAATCTCACTGCTTTATGGAAGCCCTGCAGTACTGCTACACAGAAGTTATATGCCAATTAAAGTGAATGAGTCAGAAGTTAAATTATGACCTAAGCCAATTGAAATACAGTAGCATTACTTTTTGTTGAGCATGTACCAATGTCACTTCAGTATTTTCATGTTACTGTACATTCATCTCAAGTAGCCCAGATCTCATGTTGGAGAGACTCTTCCATCAAACTTTTTGGCTTCCTTGGCAATGAATGTTACCCTGGATTTTCTGTTGTCCTAGATTAATGCATTTTTCCTTAGCAATTTGAGATAGGGACTCCAGAGCTCTTGTTAAGAGCGGATTTATCTATTCTATACCCATCCGAATTCCATTCAAGTTCAACATTAACGTGAGCAAAGAGTGAACATCATGAGAGATCTTCAGACCTGTTTGAACAGGGGCTGTTTGTGCCCATTGGCATTTAGCCAGAGCCGGGGAGTGAAGAGAACCAGGTAAATTACAAACAAGGAGGGTCAGGGGATGAAGAGAAATCATACGTGATTTTTCTTTAACATCAAAAATGGTTTAAAAGAGGCAGTTCGATTTCAGGTCAGTTTAATGTTTCATTTCAATACGTTTGGCCCTTATCTATATCTCTGGCTGGAGAAGAGGGTTTTCTAGTTCTCTAGTGATCACTGAACAGTTTACCAAAATGTTTAATAGCTGTCCCAGAGGCACCTGCTAGCTTTCTACAAGGTGACTGTCATCATGTGCTTTCCTCAGAATGAATTTTCGGTATAAAAACTGGGTAGGTTCCACACTGATTGATTGCTTTGCCATTAGGAGCAATCATTCCACATTGCACAAAGCATGACCCGAAATGGAGAGCAGGCGTGTAAGGGGGTCATGCCATCAGGTTGGCTAAATAAAGGAGTGGATTCTTTAACTCAGTTGGGGTAAGATACAGATACCTTCCAGATAAATACAGCAGTCTCTCTTTGTTAAGCCAGGATTTATTCAGGAGCATCATAAGAAACAAATCTAGACAACCAGCTGAGCTGCTGTGTAAACCGTGATTGTCACTTTTATACAAGGATTAGTAGGATCAACACCCAAAGAGCAAGGCTTGGCGAGCCCTCAGGGATGTTAACACATTACAAGTAAGCAATGGGATCAACTCCACTAGCTGAAATCATTTGAGTGCTGCAAATGGCGCATATTGACACGGTGTTCTGTTGAACGACAGCCACTATCTGGTGCATTAATAGCTACTGCTAACAAGTGAGGAAGTATTTACAGTTACCTTACTGTAATTTCAGAATTAATACTGTTTTCTGGGCCTGGATGGCACTCTTGTAATGCAATAGCACCTGGTTATGGTTTGCAGATGGAGTTGCTACCATGCATGTTTTCAATACCTAGTTAACTCTGCTGTTAAAGCACACTTGTGTATTTGACTTGTATTTGTTCCCATGGTTTCCTTTTTCTTAAAACCCAAGGAATGTCCCAGGGACAGCCATGGCCACCCCTGGACAGGCCAAGCAGGGCCTAACAGGTTCATTTGGGCTCATTTAATGGCTTGGCTGCAGAGTCCTATACCTGGGTGGGAACTCTGTGGTCCTGGGTTTGGAAAAGCCTTTGAATGAGTCCAGCTCCATGAGATTTGGGCCAAACAACCGAGGTGAGTGGACTGAAGGATGCAGACATGAAGAAGCTCCATAAATGCAGTGGAATATGGCTGTCTTGAGGCACTGAATGAGGCCATGAGGTTTTAACTAGGGTGAATCCCCAGGATACATAAGGATTTGAGGCCAGTGCAAGAAGATATGGAGAGGTTGGCGCGGATACCTTTGATGCAGGAAGGAGCAGAACAGAGAACTTGGCTGTGCTCACTGCTGCTCTCACCTGCTTCATTTAGGATCAGCCAGACCCCGTTAGGATCCTTGCCCAAGTTGCAGTCCTGAAGTGTTGGGTTCTCCTTGTACTTGTGTGTATTGACTTGGAAGTGGCTCAGATCTAGTGCACGCTAACTAGGCTGGGACAATTTGAGCCTTTGGAGGAAAGACCCCATTAAATAGCTATAGTAGGTTATGGAAAAAATTAGAAGGTCTAAAAGGCGACATCTCAGTGCTTGTTACTAAGTAAACCAGAAGCCAGGGCATTTCATGAACTAAGGCAGGGAGATACAAAAACTTCAGCGAGAGTGCTGGGGAAACAGGGATCTGCGGAACTGAATAGAACAAAATGAGCAGTCTAAGACCATGTCAATATTTTCCTGCAGATGCATCAGGATAAAATTGCCAATTGATGCATGTCCAGAGGCCTGGAAGTATTAAATTAAAGGTTGTTCTCTCGAGGGAGGATTACCAGTCAATGCAGGACTTGCGCAGTTCAGCATGTCGTGCTGTTGTAGAGAAGAGTGATCGTGTAGTAGACACAGAAGCTATGGTACGCTGTAAATATCTGTGTGCTGCAGAACGGGGGTTAATCACTATACGTATTGAGCAGGTCTATTGACACATGTAACAGTTCTTGCATTTGGGAAAAGTGTCATCCAAATAGATTTGTTAATTTTCTAGGCAGGCTGCAAAGCTCACCTTTTCTTTCTGGGATTTGGGGAGCGGGCCGTCCGGAGAGCTTGGTTTAGTGTGGGGATTCCTGGGAGCGGGTGCATGGTGTGGGCAATTCAAGAGGCTGCAGATTTAATAAAGCCTAATTCTGGGATAGACCCTGAAAAAAACCCTAAATCAGTAAATAATGGTGATGATGCAAAAGCAGGAAAACACATTGCAGAAACCAGTCCAGTGCCAGTGCACAATATACACAATGCCTTGTGCTGCAGAATATGTTACTGAGGATAAAACAAGAGCCAGCTGTTGCTAACAG